CCTGGGAATGCAGGAAAATATAAGAAAGGCATCTTGATTCTGTGGAGCTTAAATCTGTTTAGTGAGACAGATTTGGTAAATGAAATTTGATAAATGAAGGGTCTAGCCAGTACAAGGCCATGGGGCTAGATCCTGCTTGGTTAATGTTTCAATAATTCTAAGTTGACCAATAATGGACCATAGTCAGTAAGCCAGAGAGCAGTATGGAAGATGGTCAGACCTAGTATAGTCTTAGGTTAGAATAGGGTAAAGGTTTTGGATTTTTCTTTAAGTGGGGTTGGAATTCAATGCAGGACTGACAGGGAAGGGATGTCATCTAAATTGCATAAAATATATTTCCAGTAGAGTCTTAATCTTAGATAAACTGAAGTATTCACAAATATTTTATAATTTCTGAGATTTACTTCTTAATAAGGGGCAAGAGGGAAGTCAGTAGTAGAGAAGACATAAGATTGATCCTGATGATTGATAATTTTTTACCCTGCGTCCTGGGTGCATGGGGATTTATTAAACTATGCTCTCTACTTTTGTTTAAACTTGAAGTATTCATAATACTACTATGGAGAGAGAGAGAAAGGATTGCTCTGGCTGTTGCTGTATAGAGAACAGATTATATCTGATTGTGAGTAGAAAGAAAATGACCAGTTGATCTAATCACTGTTTGTTTTTGTTTTTTTTGAGTATCTCAAGTTGGTTCCAACTCATAGGGACCAGAAAGCCTCTTCTTTCTCTCACAAAGTGGCTAGTGGCCTCGAACCATTGACCTTGTGGTTCACAGTCCAGTGCTTACCCCACACTTAGCTGTGCCAGGCAATTTTTGTTTGGGACATAGAGGTGTGCTCAGTTCACCTTTATTTAATTAGTGTGAAGGAAAGCATGGCAGAGCAGGATGAATCGTATTTCCTACAGAAGAGCCTTATTTTAGCAAGGTAGTAGAGGGTGAATTCTTTTCAATTAAGCAGTTTGTTGTTAGTGAAAATGACATGGAAAGGTTAAGTCTTTGAATTTTTTCCCCTTTCAGGCTATTGTCTATTTCTGATACCTTATTATTGATCACCTGAACATCTTTTTGCAGGTTTTGAATTGTTTACAGTGCTGTGTCAATCCTATTTGATTGTTCCTGCAGTACTTTCCTTACTTCTTCCTTATTTTCCTTGACCCCTTTTCAGATTATTTGAATTTGTTTCCGTATCATTCTTCTGAATTCCCTCTCAGGCATATCCAAGACCCGCTCCTCCTCCTCTATAATGCCTTTGTCAAGTCTTTGAATTTTAAAGTTCATGTGTTTGGTGTCCAGTTGGAGGCCTGAGAGTTACTTTGTATGTGTGTGTGCTTTAATTAACATATTGTTGTTGTTAAATGCCATTAAGTTAGTTCTAACTCATAACGATCCAGTATAGAGTTTCCGAGGAGCGACTGGTGAGTTTGAAATCACCGACCTTGTGGTTTAAACCAACCTTGCGGTCCTGCACTTATCCTACCTCTACTAGATGAGGTTAATTGGGGCAGAAGATTTGTAAAATGGGTAGCACCAAACCACATGTGGAAAGATGCTTCTAGAGCTAGAAAACTTTGCTTTTCATTTTACTCTAATTTTGCTTAGTCTTTATTCAGAAGACCTTCCTGCTCAGCGCCTTTGGAGTAAACAAAGTTCTTTGTTTTAACTTTTCCCTTCAAAGTGGAAGTTCCTTTATTTTTGTTTTGTTTTTTTAATTTTAATGGTGATATAGCTTTAGTATTTCTTAAAACTCAAACACTGCAAAGTAATGTAAAGAGAAAGTTGTCACTTCAAAACAACCATTTAAAAATTTTTAATATTTTTTACGCAAGAGATTGTTCTATGCATATATGCAGAGATATTTATAAGTATACTTTAGTTTTTAAATCTTGCATTTGTTGGTTGCTTTTATCACTCAACATATTTTAAACGTCTTTAATCGTTAGTCATTTATGTCATTGTTGTTAAGTGATGTCACATCAGTTCTGACTCATAGTGACCCTGAATGGGGTTTTCAAGAAGCAACAGGTGGGTTTGTACGGCTGGCCTTGTGATTAGCAGACCCTTGCTTATCCTGCAGCACCACACCTGGACCCCTTCCCTTATAGTGCCACTAAATCTTTAAATAGTTCTATCCTTTTCACCTAAACTGTAGATTCCTCCTTTTACCTTGCCACACCCATGCTTCTGGAGGGAAATCATTACCAAGACAATGACTTTGTCCACTACCATGTACTGACATGCTCCTTGGAGTAAGGACATTTGAAAATAAGTCACCAACGTATTTTTTGTATGTTTGAATAATGAAATTCACTTGCATTATTTTTTTTCCAATTTTGATAGTTCCCTGATCCTGATTTCTCTGAGTAATTTACCCGACAGGAAAACAGTCAGTGAAAATGCCTTGACCTGGGCAGGAGCCAGCTTGACAGGACTGTAGGATTTTGCTGTGATAAGTTCACTTGAATTTGAATAATGTTAGTTCATTTCAGCATTTGCTCAAAAAAGCTATAAAATTGGTTTGTTATGTGATTTTAGATTTTTGAAAGAAATATTGTCTATTTCCCTACTAAATATAAATCTCTGTGTCACATTAATGGCTTTGGTGTTTCTGAAGGAAGAAAAAAAGAAAACAGTGAAATTACTTAAATCTTCTTTTTTTAGAATCTTAGATACCATTGTTTCCGGATAGAAAATAATAAAAATTTGTACTTGAAATATACAGTAAAATTTCATTTGAAATTGATTTCCTAGCAGTCGCTCTTGAGAAATAACTTACTTCCTGTTGGCTTCATTGTTTTAATTTAGAATGTATTGTACTTTTTAGCATTATACCGTGTTTGTAACACTCTTCAGTACTTTAAAAACAAGTATGTGTCTGATTTTTATTGTTGTAACTATACCATAACAGTATACTTACACTTTTAAAAAAGTCATTTTCATAAGAAGTTTAATTCTTTTTATTGCTTGATATTTATAAGAATACAGTATGTGATTTAATGACTAGTGCTACATTAGTATATTGTGCTACCAAGGCATAGATGTATTTATGTTAAGGTTTCCATCTCATGGAAATGACTGTCATTATGGTGGTCTTGTTTTAATATTATGATCATATCATACTTTTCAGAAATATGCACATAGTTACACCTGCATTTTAGCTCTTTTCATTTTACTCTAATTTTGCTTAGTCTTTATTCAGAAGACCTTCCTGCTCAGCGCCTTTGGAGTAAACAAAGTTCTTTGTTTTAAAGTTCTTTGTATATGCATTATTAAAATGTGAAATCTATTATTAAACCGACTAATTTATAAACCAGAATATGTATTCAATGAATTATCTCTGATAAGACTCAAATAACACTCTTCTATGAGTATTTCTTTTGTTATATTGGAATTGTACTGAGTTCTCCTTGAAATAGTAAGTTACTATCTGAGACAAGGTTTTAACAGCGGTTCTTAGGCTTCTTTTAATAGTCCTGTGCTGCTTTAATGATCTTTGTAGCTCTGAAAGGTTTGGTTTTTCTAGGCTATTTTATATCAAAATCTTACTGCTCTGATGATCTGACCCATGTTTGTCAAAACACTGTTAATAGTTTTAGCAATTTTTACGTTGTCATATAATAACTTCTAAGAAGAGAGCTAAAGAATATACCCATGTAGCAAACAAATAAGATGCCATGGTCAGAAAATAAATTGACCACATTGCAAAAACACTAATGCAGTGTGGTATTTTTTTCTCTGAAATTTCCACATTCAACAGGAAACATAGACAGCAAGCTTGAGTGGGTGGGTATCTGAGGTTAAAACTGTTAATGAAGTCAGACACTTGAAATCTAGTTTTAAATGCAAAGCATTTCCAGCCATGTTACAGTGTCTTTAAGCTTTATACAGGTGAGTATGTTGGAATCTTTTCTCCTTCAACTGATTTTTCCTCCCTCGTAGAAAATGAAAGTAGTTGATCTGACTCTAGTTAGTGAACTCTCCTACATTTTATATTTACTAGTCTAATAATGTGAGGAAAGAGAGTAGCTTACTAACATTAAACATTTGTGTTAATAGAAGAGTCATACCTGTTAAGGCTTCTTTTAATAATGTTTATTTTTTAAAATTTTATTTAAGGGATGAGATAATATGCTTTAATTTTATTTTATTTTGACAGATACGAATATTTCCACTGCAGTATGAAATAGTTAGAGTAGATGATATCCAGAGTTGTCTCCAAGTCATTAATATTATGCAGTTTAAAGTCATGATAATGGCATGTGTCTGTGCTTTAAATTACTTTGAATTCAATTATGAAAGTACACTCTGAGTCAGTGTCATTTTCTTTAACTGATAAAAATACATCTGTTTTAGAAAATGCCCATTAATCACAATGATAGCTGAAAATAAGTATATAATAAAACATTTCCTTACTACTCCCCACCACAATACAAAATGACTACCTTCCATATGTGTAAGAAAAGGACAAAAAAAAAAAAAAAGAGAGAGAAAGAAAATAAGAAAATCCTCTAGTTTACCATATGTAAAAATAACTATAAATGTTACATATAGAATTCTAGTTTTGTTCTGGACTACATAGAGTCAGAGGAGCAGGAATTAGATTAAAAGTTACTCAGGTGCTAATGTGCTAGCAATTGATTAATACACCCCATGATCAGCTCCAGCTTCAGATACTTAAGATTAGGAATAAGCAGTATCTATGATATTGTTAACATCTGAGATGACCTTTAATAACAAGTTGCTCCCTTGTTGCTATTTTCCTGTTCCTTATTTTTTTTCTTTTTCATTTTTTCTCCTACTCTTTCTAGTCTCTTATTTCTTCTTTATTCATATAAAGTAAATGTATTTTTTAGAAATTATTTGATGAATGACCTCTAGATGGGTTAATTTTTATAAGTTGACTAGTCTAGAATATTATCTATTAAGACAGATTCTAGGATTTGAGTCAGACTTTTCACTATAAGCATAAAATGGTTCATATATTATTTAATTTCTTCAGATCCCCAAGTAAGCCCTTGGCAAGAAAATTAATGGACTGGGAAGTAGTAAGCAGAAATTCATTATCTGATGACAGGTTAGAAACACAAAGCCTTCCATCACGGTCTCCACCTGGAACTCCGAATCAGTAAGTACACACTGACATCAGATATGCATTTTACTAATTTCTAAATTATTGGCTACATATTTTCATTGCCTAAAGATGGTGATTGTTGTTTTATTTTTCATATTCTTCTCCTATACCATAGTTCAAATGTATTGATTCTTCTACAGTCTTCTTTTTCAATCCTTCAACTTTCACATGCATATCTAACAATTGCAAATACCCTAGAACACCTGAGTTGTCAAACTGATATTTTTGTTAACACTATAAAGAGGTCATGTGCAGCAGATTTGCTTAATGAATTTATTATTTGATTTCTTTAGTGCTGCTCCTTTAGTGTTGATTGTAGATCCAAGCAAAATGAAGTCTTTGACAACTTCATTCTTTTCTCCATTTATCATGATGTTTTATATTGGTCTAGTTGTGAGGATTTTTCTTTTCTTTATATTGAGGAGCATTCCATACTGAAGTTGTACTCTTTGATCTTCATCAGTAAGTATTTCAAGTCCTCTTTGTGCTAGCAAGTAAGTGTGTGTCATCTGCATTAATGAACTTTCCTCCAGTCTTGATGCCACATTCTTCCTATAATCCAGCTTCAGGGATAAATTTGCTCAGCATGCAGATTGAATAGGTATGGTGAAAGGATACAACCTTGGCACATACCTATTCTGACTTTAAACTGTTCATCCTCCCCTTGTTCTGTTCAACCTATGTACAGGTTCTTCCTGAGCACAATTAAGTGTTCTGGAATTTCCAATTTTCACAGTGCTATCCATAATTTGTTATGATCCACAGTCAAATGTCTTTGCATAGTCAATAAAACACAAGTAAACATCTTTCTGGTATCCTCTGCTTTCAGCCAAGATCCATTTGACATCTGCAATAATATCCGTCATTCCATGTCCTCTTCTGAATTCAGCTTGAATTTCTGGCAACTCCCTGTCAATGTATTGCTGCAACCATTTTTAAATAACCCTTAGAAAATTATTACTTGCATGTGATATTAATGATATTGTTTAATGCATGTGATGACCACATTCCATTTGGTCATCGCTATTTGGAATAGGCATAAATATGGCTTTCTTCCCATCAGTTGGCCAAGTAGCTGTCTTCCAAATTTATTGGCATAGATGAGTGAGCATTTCCAGTGCTGTTTCTGTTTGTTGAAAGATTTCTATTTTTATTTCATCACTTCCTGGAATCTGGTTTTTCACCATTGCCTTTGCATCTTTGTCTTCTTCCTTCAGTACCATTGGTTCTTGATCATGTGCTGCCTCTTGAAGTAGATGAACATTGACCAATTCTTTTTGGTATGGTGACTGATTATTTCTTCCATCTTCTTTTGGTGATCTTACGTCATGCAGTATTTTGCCTGTGTTGTTGTTGTTAGGTGCCATTAAGTCAGTACTGACTCATAGCAACCTTATGCACAGCAGAATGAAACACTGCCTGATCCTGGGCCAACCTCACTATCGTTGCCACTGCTTGAGCCCATTGATGCTGCCACTTTGCCAATCCATCTCTCTGGGGGTCTTCCTCTTTTTCTTTGACACCCTCCACCTTACTAAACATGATAGCCTTCTCCAGCGACTGGTCCCTCTTGACAATATGTCCGAAGTTTGAGAGACGAAGTTTGTCCATTCTGGCCTCCAAGGAGCACTCTGGCTGCACTTCTTCCAACACAGATCTGTTGGTTCTTTTGACAGCCCATGGCACTTTTAGTATTCTCCTCCACCATGATAATTCAAATGTTCATCTACTTCAAGAGGCAGCACATGATCAAGAATCAGTGGTACTGAAGGAAGAAGACAATATTTCAAAGGCATCAATTCTTCTACAGTCTTCCTTATTAACTGTCCGGCTTTTGCATGCATATGAGGCTATTGAAAATACCATGGCTTGGGTCACCTTAGTCTTCAAGCTGACATCTTTGCTCTTCAACACTTTACAAAGGTCTTGTGCAGCAGAGTTGCCTAAAGCAATACGTCGTTTGATTTCTTAACTGATGCTTCCATGAGTGTTGATAGTTGATCCAAGAAGAATGAAGTCCTTGACAACTTCAATCTTTTCTCTGTTGATAAGAATGTTGTTTATTGGTCCAGTGG